TGAAGCCGCTGGGGGAGATCATTCGTGGCTTTGGGGTGGATTTCCATCAGTACGCTGATGATACTCAGCTGTACATTTCCACCCCAGGCCACCCCAATGATGCCCTTGACGTGATGGCCCGTTGCCTGGAGGCCGTAAGGGTCTGGATGGGGAGGAACAGACTCAGGCTCAACCCTTCCAAGACCGAGTGGCTGTGGCTACCGGCGCCTCGGCATAGTCAGCTGATTCCATCGCTGACTATAGGGGGCGAAATTCTGGCTCCCTCGGAGAGGGTACGCAATCTGGGGGTCCTCCTGGATCCGCGGCTGACACTGGAAGACCAGTTGTCGGCCGTGACCAGGGGGGCGTTCTGTCAGGTACGCCTGATTTACCAGTTGCGGCCTTTTCTGGACCGGGACGCCTTGCGCACAGTCACCCATGCCCTTGTCACCTCCCGCCTGGACTACTGTAACGCTCTCTACATGGGGCTTCCCTTGAGGAGCACTCGGAGGCTTCAACTGGTCCAGAATGCGGCCGCGCGGGCGGTGTTGGGAGGGACTCGTTGCTCCCATGTAACACCGCTGCTGCGCGAGCTGCACTGGCTGCCGGTGGCTTTCCGGGTGCGCTTCAAGGTGTTGGTTATCACCTTCAAAGTGCTCCATGGCATCGGACCTGGATATCTCCGAGACCGCCTTCTGCCGCAGATTACCTCCCATCGACCGGTACGCTCCCACAGAGTGGGTCTCCTCAGGGTGCCATCAGCCAGACAGTGCCGGCTGGCGACTCCCAGGGGGAGGGCCTTCTCGGTAGGAGCTCCCACCCTCTGGAACGAACTTCCCCCAGAGATCCGGGTGATCCCGGATCTCCCTTCCTTCCGCCGCGCCCTTAAGACATGGTTATTTCAACAAGCAGGACTGGCCTAAGGGGAAATTTTTTAGCGGGCTTTTAAAAACAATTTTAATTAATAAGGCCTAATCTAATATTTCATTTTAATTCTGTTTTTAAATGATAGTTTTGGGGTAATTTTGTATCTGTTTTATCAGGCTGTCAGCCGCCCTGAGTCCGCAAGGAGAAGGGCGGGGTAAAAATTCAATTAAATAAATAAATAAATAAATAAAATATGCTTTAGCTTCCAGTCCCCTAATCATCTTTGTTGCTCTTCTCTGTACGATTTCTAAAGTCTCAACATCGTTTTTACATTGTGGTGACCAAAACTGGATGCAGTATTCCAAGTGTGGCCTTACCAAGGCATTGTAAAGTAGTATTAATACTTTACGTGATCTTGATTCTATCCCTCTGTTAATGCAGCCCAGCACTGTGTTGGCCTTTTTGGCAGCTGCAGCACACTGCTGGCTCATATTTAAGTGATTGTCCACTAGGACTCTGAGATCCCTCTCACAGTTACTACTATTGAGCAAGGTAACCCCTATACTATACCTGTACATTTGGTTTTTCTTGCCTAAATGTAGAACCTGATTTTTTTCACCATTGAATTTCATTTTGTTAGATAGCGCCCAGTGTTCAAGTCTGTCTAGATCCTCCTGTATCCTAAGCCTGTCTTCTGGAGTGTTGGTTAGTGCCATCTGCAAATTTGATGATTTCCCCATCTATCCCCTCGTCCAAATCGTTGATGAAGATGTTCAAGAGCACTGGGCCCAGAACAGAGCCCTGGGGCACCCCACTACACACTTCCCTCCATGTAGAGGTCCTTCTCACAGTTACTACTATTGAGCAAGGTAACCCCTATACTATACCTGTACATTTGGTTTTTCTTGCCTAAATGTAGAACCTGACTTTTTTCACCATTGAATTTCATTTTGTTAGATAGCGCCCAGTGTTCAAGTCTGTCTAGATCCTCCTGTATCCTAAGCCTGTCTTCTGGAGTGTTGGTTAGTGCCATTTGCAAATTTGATGAGTTCCCCATCTATCCCCTCGTCCAAATCGTTGATGAAGATGTTGAAGAGCACTGGGCCCAGAACAGAGCCCTGGGGCACCCCACTACACACTTCCCTCGATGAAGATGCGGTTCCATTGAGGACCACATGCTGAGTACGGCCGGTCAGCCAGCTACAGATCCATCCGGTGGTGATGCTATCTAACCCACATTTTTCTATCTTATCAAGTAGTAGGTTGTGATGTACTTTATCAAATGCCTTACTGAAGTCCAAGTAAATTATATCCACAGCATTCCTTTGTCACTTGGTCAAAGAATGCAATAAGGTTTGTCTGGCATGATCTGTTTTTGACAAACCCATGTTGGCTTTTAGTAATGACTTTGTTTGCCTCTAGGTGTTCGCTGATTCGTTGTTTGATTATCTTTTCCAGAATCTTCCCAGGTATTGCGGTTAGGCTGATCGGTCTGTAATTTCCTGGGTCCATATGATTCGCTTAACAACTGTGACGAGAAAGATCATCATGGAGCACTACCCCACAAAGAGTCACTGGGGTCCAGGTTCCCCTGGCCCTCTTTTCCAACCACCCGGGCGTCTTCCCCTGCTACAGTCCGTGGTTGTAGCTGCCCGTCCACTCTGCTCCCTCACTCAGACACCTCCACTTGCCAGGGTCAGCAAGACTCTGCTGTCTTGTCCTTCCAGCCGGTCCCTTGAGCAGCCTCCTCCCACAGTTGGGTGACACGGTGTGGGGGTGGTCAGACGGCCAGTTAGCCATTCTTCCTCTCTCCTGATGCTTGCTGGTCTCTCCTGCCCCTGCCTGCCTCCCTTTCTCTCCCTCTTTCCCCTTCCTCCTCCTCCTCTTTTCTCAATCTTTCCTCACAGACCTTTCCCTACCTTCCCCCACACTCTTTTCTCCACTTTCCCTCACACTTTCTCCCCCTTTCCTCAACCTCATGTCACTCGCCCCCCCCATTCCATGAGGTGAAAACCAGATGAGCGGGAGGCCCCACTTCCCTCCTCTCCCTTCTCTGCCCCCAAAGAGACTCACCTATTCCTCTCGCCCTCTCTCTCTATCCCCTGCTCTCCTCCTCTTTCCTGCCAAATGTCCGTTCCCTTCTCCCTCTTCCCCCATGATACAGTTAAAATGGAGCAAAGCTCACTTAACAGCTGTCTCACTTGGCAGAAGAAATTTGGGGCTCAGTTGTGGTCGTGATTCGAGGACTAGCTGTATTAGATACGTTCCTTTGGATTCCTCACTTGTTCCTTTGCCAGCAGCAGCTTGTCAGTCTTCAGTTGTTCAGATGTTTTGAGATGTTCCAGAGAGCTGCTGTTAGCATTCAAAGTCACCATATCAGACTTCAGCTTCACCTCCCTTATTATTTATTAACTATGTGTATCTCACCTTTATTATGTTTACAAATAAATCAAGCTGGCAAACATATCCGACACATCTTCCTCCTCCAATTTTCCCCACAACAACCCTGTGAGGTTGGTTGGATTGAGAGAGAATGACTGGCTCAAAGTCACCCAGCTGGCTTTCAGGGTTAAGGCAGGACTTGAACTCACAGTCTTCCTCTTCCTAGCCTTGTGCCTTAACCACTAGACCAAACTGGATCTGACTCCCATCTCAGTAATGAAGCCACTTTTGGGTGTCTCAGATTGTTGACCCCTGGTGACTGCCTTGGAGGAATCTCCCTGCACTTTTCTTGGCAAGGATTCGGGAGGGGCTTTGCCATTGCCTGCTTCCTAGGGCTGAGTGAGAGTGACTGGTCCAAGGTCATCCAGCTGGCTTTGTGCCTAAGGCAGCATTAGAACTCAGGGCTTCTAGCTTGATTTCTTAACCACTACACCAGATTGGCTTCTTCTTTTACAATTACTCAATCAAAGGCAGAGCGGCTCAAAGCAAGAGGGAAAAAAGTGCTATTTGGCATCTTGTCAAATAATGTATTTATTTAATAATGTATTCCATTTTTACAATTCTATTTAATTTTGGTGACATATTCAGGACACATAACCAATGGGTATGTTTTGTTTACTCTCTTCTACGTGTCTTCTGTTTCTGTGTATTATACTGAATAATCACTATTTGTTTGATTTGCAACGGCATAAATGTCAAAACTGACTCGTCTCCATCATTTCCTGCACTTGATTTTGGCTTGTATTCTGTCATACAGAAACAGGAGGGGGATTGGTGACTTCCTAGGGTGAGGAATTCATGAGAGTTTGCTGTTGCTAGTGAGACCTTATTCACCAAGGTCAAGTTATGAGATATGCTCAGATGGCACAGACCGGATTTCCCAAAACAAAAGAACTGAACTCAGTTGGTGAATATGAACTGCGGGTGGTCCAGAGGGGGAAAGGGGAAACTGTGGGTTTTTATGGGAAAATCCCAGAACTGACTGTGCTTCCCCTGTGCCTAGATGGATCTTTCAGTAAAGTTTTACTCTTGGTAGTTTTAAAGAGCTGGTAGTTCCTTTTGTTGAAATGTGCCAAATGGGACGGTTGACAATAAAACTAATAACGTCATTCTAAAATAGAAATAAAATCTCATATTGGCAAAATAAAATGAGGTAAAAATAAATTTATTGACATAAAATTGCAAAGGAAGGAGCTACAATCCATGAGACACCTATAAAATTACAATCAGTAATCCGATTATTGTAGATAACTTAGATAAGTATAAAAAGATTGAAGCAATACTAGGATTGTAAGAAAATTAAAAAAAAAAACACCCTATGAGCCTGGAGGAACGTTGTTCATGGGGTCGCGATGAGTCGGACACGACTTCACAACTAACAACAATGATCCTGTAAATCTTACATGGAGTCTAATATTTGCTTAAGCCCTGCTAAGGTTTGTTGGGATTATGATTATTGTGTATATTTAAAAGGAAACAGAAAAAAAGCAGAAAGAAAAAAAACAGGGAAAGATTACAGAATATATTCAATTATGGGAACCTACAGAATCACTGACTGCAACTAAACATTAAAGAAACAAGCATGATACATAAATGAGCTGTGTCGGATGTCTAAAACCCACGATTTTGGGGTTTAGCTGTAAGATAAGGTATTTTTAATACTGATATGACCCTAAAGCCTATATAAAGCTTCAACTGGACACCTCATTTTAGATTGATTGACTGACCCATTCTTTCCATTTCCAAGGCTACACAACTGCAAGCAACTCAGTGTGGCATAGAACACCAAAGGAAGGTGCAGTAGCAAAAAGCTGAGGAACCTTTCGGAGATCACTGCTCAGCAAATAGGGATTTTTTAAAGTTTTGCCTATGGATGTCCCCTCTTTTAGAGGAGGGTCAGGGAGGCGCCTTCATCCAAAGAGAAAGAGGGCAGAAGGGTCTCTCCAACCAAGGAAGCGTCCAAAAATGTATGGAGCAGAGCTGCAGTCCTGGCATCAAAAAAACTCACTTGTCCCATTTCACAGTTGAGAGAGATGCGGATCCTCGTGGGCTTGTCAATCAGGACAAATTCAGAGTATGATGGAGAGCTAGCCATGTATTTCCCTCCCCATTTCTTAAACAGCCATTGGCTGGTCTGCATATCAACATATGTTTCTTTCACCGGCTTCTTGGCAACCCCTACACCCCATCCTGCTGTATCTCCTACAGTAACTTCCCAGAAATGTCTCCCTGTTGAGAACCTCTGACAGCCAAGGACATAAGGATTAAGTACAAATCTCTTGCGGTTTGGGTCAGCATAGATTAGTCTCTTTGGCTCAATTCTTTTGACGCTTTTCTGATCCTTGGAGATGACAAGGACGCCAGGATCGGCTGTCCGTGGATTCAGACTTACATTCACTGTAGGGGGGAAGGGAAGGAAGGAGAAGAACAAGAGCTTCAGCTGCAGGCCTGGTTTGTGTCTTGACCCCCAAAATATCAACCTTAAGGCCTCCACTCTGAAAGGAGTTCAGCTTCCAACACCCCCTCCAAGACTGGAAAATTCACTGCTTTTTGAAACAACACCTCCGCATTGCCTAGTAGTCCTTCCAACCCGTCACCCCCTTCTAGCATTCCTGTACAACAGGGGTGTCAAACTCAATTTCATTAAGGGCTGCATCAGCATTGCGGTTGCCCTCAGGGGGCCGGGTGAGTGTGGCCAGGGTGGGTGCAGCCTACTGTGTGGGCGTGGATGGAGTGGGTGTGGCCAGCTCTACATTGTTCGCATCAAGGGTGCCTATGGGGGCCTGGGAAGGAGTGGGATAGATCTGAGGGTCTCTGGCAGAAGGGGGTGGGACCAGGGCAAGTGCCAAGGCATGGTCCACTGGAGGAGCCTCACTGTTCCTCTCAGGGGGGGGGCTTATGGAGCTAAGACTGAATGCGTTTCAGCATAGATGGCCACCACAAAATTGTACATTGGCTCCCGGGCGGCCAGAGCCAGGGCCAGAGCCAGGGCCAAGACAGAGGGAGCTGTTCCCTCACTGTTTCCAGGCTGGCTTCACGGGCTACATGAAACCATTTTGTGGGCCGCATCCGGCCCTCGGGCCTTGTGTTTGACATGTCTGCTGTACAATTTTCTTTAGCTTTCATCTTGAAGGTGAGAGTAATGGGGTTGGGAGTGAACAGTGTTTGGCTTTGCCTTCAGTGAGTTCCTGGGAGGGCCAAGGTGTGAATAGGGACTCTGCCTGGAGCTTTAATACAGAAGATCAGGCAGAGCAAGAGGCTGCCATGTTTCAGTTGTGAACTGCCAGAGTCAGAAGGATCCCCCAGAGGTAATTTGGGACACATGGTGGAATGTGAGGAAGCTTTGTCCTTTTCTCTACCAGCATCAGGATATCACAGGCATGTACAATAGGGGAGGATCTTGCTCAGGAAACCTCTGCTTTCATAACTTTGATGAGCCTAGTGCTCCAACTTTGCTTTCACCCAAAAGTCCTAATTTCTCTGCTCCCAAAAACCTGGTGTCTCACCAATTTATAGTCAGGCAGTAAAATCAACAGGATGTTATTAGCTTGGTAGAAAGTTTATGTTCCATTCAGTCCCAGCCCATATTTTCCCATTTTTCCAGATATTACATTCTACACCAAGACTGACTTCAATTTAATAGAATAGAATAGAATAGAATAGAATAGAATAGAATAGAATAGAATAGAATAGAATAGAATAGAATAGAATTCTTTATTGGCCAAGCGTGATCAGACACACAACAAATTTGTCTCCGGTGCATAAGCTCACAGTGAGCATATAAACAGCACATAACAGGTCATAAATCATAAAATCATTAAAGTTTACTGGATCATCGTAGTCTTTAAGGTATCTAATCCTATACTTTTCTTTTTTGTTACTCTATTTTGTTTCTCTTAAAGCTACCAGCATCAGAGCTTAAAATAGCAAGTGATGTAAGAGATTCTTATAACTCATATTTACCTTCCTGTAGTTGAAGTCCACTTTCCAGAGTATCTGGGGAAGAAAAGGGAGGGATTCAGCATCTCATTGCTGGAAATGGAGCAACAAAAGGGCCTCCCCAGAGATACCCTTGTTTGCTTTCTTTGGACACAAATCAGGATATAAGGAATAAGCTACAAGCCAGGATGTCATTGGTGGATGTATATATTCTACCAGATATAAATATATTCTACTATATATTCCATATATAGGTAATCCTCAACTTACAACCACTCACTTAGTGACTGTTCAAAGTTACAGCGGCACTCAAGAAAGTGACCTATGACCGGTTCTCAGACTTATGACCACTACAGATCAAAATTTGGGCACTTGGCAACCGGGGTGTATTGACAAGGGTTGCAACATCCCAGGGCTCTGTGACTGTCGTAACATTCAAACATTCAAACTGATCTTGCAACCTTCCTAGGGAGCTTCTGACAAGCAGAGTCAATGGGGGAAGCCAGATTAGCTTAACCACCATGGCAAAAAGGTCATTAAAAGGGGCATGACTCACTTAACAACCTCTTTGCTTAGCAAATGAAATTTTTGGCTCAACTGTGGTTGGAAGTCAAGGACTACCTCTATATATTTCATTATATTTAGTGGAAGCTTATTCTGCTTCCCCAGTGGTCAGTGCATATGGATCTGGGAAATAAAGAATATAAGTAGCCCTCGACTTACTTCCACAATTGAGCCCAGAACCTATGTTGAAAAATTTGTTAAGTGAGTTTTGCCCCATTTTATGGCTTTTCTTGCCACATTTGTTAAGTGAATCACTGCACTTGTTAAACTAGTAACATGATTAAGTGAATCTCGCTTCCCCATTGACTTTGCTTGTCAGAATGTCACAAAAGGCAATCACATGACTTTTTTCTAACATTGAAGAGTCACTAAATGAACTGTTGTAAGTCGAGGACTACCTGTAATTGGTCAAATATCACTAGCTAATGGTTCCCATTTTTCAGTCACACAGCTCTTCTAATGAGAGAAAGCAGAAAGCTCCTGTTCCCCCTCCTGGTGCCAGGAAACAAGGCCTTTCCCCAGAGAAATGAAGGTGTCTCTTACACTGATCCTGACATCGATCCCACTTTGATCCCCCTGACACTGACCCAGAATCTCTCCTGGATGCTCTGGGGTCAAAATGTCATCCAGCATACAACCCCAGTGGCTGTTTTTTACCTTTCAATTTTTTCTTGGCACTTTTCAGGAGCGCAATGATATCACTGTAATCCCAGATTGTCCACTTCGGCTCTGGAAGTAAATCCACTGGATTCTCATATATTTCGTTTGCCTGATATCTGCCAAGACAAAAGAACATTCTTGAAAATTCATGTGAATCTCTTGGCCAAAAAAACGGACTGTATCTTACCAAGTAACTGATGACTAATGACTAATATGGGTGAGGTAGGTAAGCAATCTAGAAGATGGATGTAACATTCAAACATTCAAAACTGATCTTGATGGATTAAAGGTAATGCAATGAAATTTAATAGAGACGAATGCAGTTACCTTCAATTTGTGACTATTTATTCAAAACCAGTTACAACAGCTCTCAAAAAAATGACTTAAAACCATTTTCACACTTAACATCTATCAGTGTCCATGTAATCACAATTTGGGTGCTTGGCAACCGGCATGTATGTATGATAGTTGCATTACATCCTACAATGATACCTTTAAAACCATCAGACATCTGTCTCTTCTTGGGAAGGACTCAATAGGTGGATAAAAATGCCAAATTCAATCTAAACATCTGGCTAACTGTGCAATCAACCATAATAATTTTTCATATCAAATATTGCTAATGATATTGTGCTGAGGTTGTCTGAGAAAATGTCTAAAAAGCCCTGAATTACAGTACATTATCTTTAAATGAAATTACTGCGAAATACAAACAGAACTTTCCAAAATAGGAAAACTGCTGGAGGAGCTGCCGATCTCTGAGACTGTAAAGAGGAGAGTGGATTCACTTACTTCTTCAAGATGCTTCCAATGTCCTAAAAAAAAAGAGAGACAAAGCAGAAAGTTAAATTCTTTGAATTCTTGCTTTTCACATTGCCTGCTTTTTCTGAATTACACTATGGATCCCTAATATTAGCCATTACAAGTAATCCTTGAATTTCAACAGTTCATTTAGTGACCGTTCAAAGTTACAACTGCAATGAAAAAAAACGACTTATGACCATTTTTCACACTTAAGACCGTTGCAGCATCCCCATGGTCACATGATCAAAATTCAGCCGCTTGGCAACTGATTCATATTTATGACTGTAGTCTCCCGAGGGTCATGTGATCACCTTTTGGGACCTTCTGACAAGCAAAGTCAATGGAGAAGCTAGATTCACTTAACAAATGTACTACTAACTTAGCAACTGCAGTGATTCACTTAACAGCGTCAAGAAAGGTTGTAAAATGGGGCAAAATTCACTTAACAACTATTTTGCTTAGCAACAGAAACTTCGGGTCCAATTGTGGTCATAAGTCAAGGACCACCTGTAGCCTTCATACTTTCTAAGTTTTCTTTCCATAGAGAGTCAAAAAAATTAAATAAGGAGCTGAAAAATGATTCTGAACTTTGTTACTTTGTACTTTGCAGCCAGAGAACTATTTGCACAGAAATGGAAAAATATATCAATCTCCACAACAGAAGAATGGATGAAAAAAGTGATGGAGCTAGAAAAAATGAAAAAAATTGACTGCTTTAATTAGATATCAACCTTTGTTTCTACTTGGAAACTGCTTCTGGACTTTATGCTCAAGATAGAAAAAAAATGAACTACTGATGCTTGGTTTTGCTTATTAAATTAATTTGTTTTTATAGATATGGTTAATAATTTCTAAATATGTAAATGTAAAAAGTTGAGGCTGTAATTTTATTTTGTATTTTACTGTGCTGAAGTCAATGCTTTTTTTTCTCCTTTCTCCTACACTTCTTTCCCATTCTTCTGCTTCTCCATTTCCCTTTCTTTATTTTCATTTGTACTTTCACTATTATAATTTCAATAAAATATATCAAAAAAAAGGCTTCCGGTTTGCGATCGCTGTGCGGGCGGGTTTTCTCCCGCCGGGAGACGCTGAAGAGGACCCCCAAGTGATCGCGAAAGTGCGGCAGCCCTCCCGTTTGATCCGGGGCAGCACTTCAAGCTGATGGGGAAAAGATCAGCCACTAATGTGACCCATTATCAAGCTGCTGACAGCTGAGGCCAAACTCACTAACACTTTGAAAGCAACGTGGAGGAATTGGGTGAGATTTTACCTTCTCTGTAACCTAAGTACTTTTCCTGTTGAAAGCTTTTTGAAAATTCTTCCCCTTATGAGGAGAGGGAAGGGAATTTTTCTTTCTTCTTCCACCCTCTAAAATGGCGGTGTTTGATCATTCAGGGGAAACAAAACATTGAAAAGACTAACTTAATATAATTCGATACTTTTTTTTTTTTTGAATTTGGGGACTCAAAAGTTTCTACTCTTACTGGAACCTGCTATTTTATGTTATTTGCAAAAAAAGAACTTGAATCAGATAAAAACCTAGCCCTGTACCTGAAAAAGACTTTAAATGCTATCGGGGACATCTTGTGGCGAAGCTTGGTACAGCAGTTTATTCCCTCAGATAAAGAGACTTGTTCACAGTCCAGACCTGACCTTGATATTATCTATGAGAGATTCTACTCTGAGAGAACAGCTGGGCAGTGAAATTGGTTTCTAGGAATGGTGGAGGTGTACATTTACTGACTCTTGTTTAATAAATAGCCTTCACTAGAAAGACCATTTATAACTATGTCAGTCAGGGAGCAAAAAACTTTGGTTATGTTAAAATCCTTACTTGAAAGTATGCTTGCAAACACTGAAAAACTCAAAGCTCTTTCGAAAGACAAAGGTGCCAGCCTAGAGCCACAAAGTAAAATCTTGATTGCAGATAAAAAACTACTAATTCAAAAAACAACAGGAGTGGATAAAGTGAATACCAAGATAGAGGGCTTTACAGATCAACAAGTGCAGCCCACTGAAAATCCAGACAATGAAACAATCTTTAAAATTGGAAATGGCTATCTATACAAACCAGAAGAAACCTGCAAAGAAGATGACCAGATCGAATTGAAGACAACTATACCAGAACAACCACGGGGATCTGGGTTATCAGGGCGACAAGTTAATGATTACAAATGGGCCAGATCTTTCAGAAAATTGGCAATTAGATGGTCTCCTTCAATCCAAGTAACATATACAAGAATGAAGGGAGATCTATTCGATGATTTCAAAGCATTGGTATGGAAGCCTGGTTGGCAAAAGAAGAAAGCTAGAATAAGGTTGAAAAATTGGGGCTTTTTGATTTGCTAGAAAGGACCCTAAACTGTCAACTGTGGTCTAAAGGGAAATTTTGAGACAAAGGGAAAGTTGATTACTAGATTTAAATTAGTTGGAAAATAGTAAAAAATAAGGGATTAATCTGTCTAATGCTGAGGAAGGAAATGTAATCTAACTATTAGGAAATAGGTTTGAATTATTAATTAGCCCAGATAATATAGAGAATAGATTTGAACTAATAAAGGATACTCTATTATTAAGGTGGTGATGTATTAGGGTGAGAAATAGAAAATGTTTATGAAAAAGAAGAAGAATATATTTAAGCAACTAATATGTGTATTTTAGACATTATAATTCTTATGAAGTGAGATAAAGGAAATTTGCGTTACCTGAAAGTTAAATACTATGGCTATTAAAGGTCAAATTGGAATATTGTAATTAATAAATTAAAAATTAGGTAAAAGTTAAACATGGATTGTTAATCGAGATTTACTAAGATATATATAAGCAAAAAAAGATGTGTTTATAATGTGATAATGAAGTTTTTACTGAGTTTGATACAACTAGAAATTTACTAGCTTAACTATGAAATAGCAAATGTTAAGGGAAACAAGAGAAGAAATATTTGATATAACCTGAGACACCTGCTAAAGATTTTGATATTGTACTATTGTTTAACCCAATTACCACATTGCTTTCTAAATACTCAAATGTAAAACTGGAAAATAAAATATTTATATAAAAAAAGAGGATTCTGTGATGGGGCTAAAGCAGTCTACTCCACTTCATCATTGGTACACCAGGATACAAAAAAGATGCTGAGGCCCAAAAAAGAATGCAGAGAGGAGCAATAGAGATGATAAGGGCTCTCAAAGCCAAACCGTACAATGAATGGCTAAGGGAACTCAGTATGCTTAGCTTAACAAAGAGAGGGTTTAAGGGAGACATGACAGCCATCTTCCAATACTTGAAAGACTGTCATAGGAGAAAGGGCATCAATTTACACTCTGTAGCTCCTGAGGGCAGGAGAAGAAGCAAGGGAAGGAAGCTCATCAGAAGGAAATCCAACCTAGAAATAAGGAAGAATTTCCTGACAGTGAGAACTATTAATTAATGGAATGGCCTGCCTCCCCAAGTTGTGCGTCCTCCATCACTGGAGGCTTCCAATAATAGACTGGACAACCATTTGTTCGGGACGGTAAGGACTCCTGCCTTGGGCAGAGGATTGGACTAGAAGACCTCCAAGGTCCCTTCCAGCCCTATGATTCTATGATCTCAACTTCCTGCCTGACCTGTAAGAGTTTGCTGGCTGGCTGCTGATGCTTCTCTTCTATCTCCTGGATGAGATCGTCAAGAGAGCACAGTTCCTCCATGTGCTTGGCCAAACCCTTCTCCTTTATTGCCATAATATCCTTCTCCATCTCTTCCATTCTAGCCAACAGAAGCTCCTCCTGTCCTTCTAACCAGAGTTGTAGTTCTCTGAATTCAGCCACTACATCTTTTTTCTCTTTTTCAATGAGGTCCTAGAACAAGAAGACAGAAAGAGCAAAAGGCATATTTTTGATTTATTTTTACTTAATTATATTTTTTTTAATTATTATTATATTTAAACAGATTCCCTGAAGAGTCCTGAAATGAGATGGGAGAATTTCCTAGGGAGAAAAAAAAACATTTTGACATCAACAAGCACAGGGGGAAAGGTTTCTAAAAAGCAAAAAACGGCTCAAGTTAAATGATCTCTCATGAAACATTTCTTGGCAATCAGGAATTCCAAAAAAGTAGACAGAAAAATGTTTGATTTCACATTTGTTTCAATAAGATGAAATATGGTTTGCGTTAATTTATATGCAAACCAAACCCACTTTATAAAACATTGCTCGTGTGACAGGTGCCCTTAACTCAACTGTGACTCATTCAGCCAATGGTGACATCCCAGTCAAAGATACAGTCCCCAGGTTAAGAACAAGTTCTGTGCCTGAACACTGTTGTTAACTGGAATTTTATTTAAGTCAGAACTTGTACTTACAAACAGGCTACCTATTATTAAAGATGGCAGATGGTGTTCTCCTTCCTATTAGCTCAGAAGCTCCTCACTGTTGGATCAATACTTACAAGCATCTCCTGAACTCTTTGCTCTGTGTCCGTTTTATATGTAGCTATTTTTTCTTTCTCCTCCTTCTGAGTCCTCAGGCAATCCCCAACCTTAATCTGAAGAGAAAATACAAGTTTTGAGTTTCTTTTCCGTAAAGAGTTATGTCTGAGGGAAGACCCAGTTAGAAGATATATAGTCGTCATAAATACATGGCAGTTGCCAAGCGTCCACATTTTGATCATGTGACCACAGGGATGCAACAGTCGTACTGTAAAAAATGGTTGTAAGACAATTTTTCCATTGCCGTTGTAACTTCGAACAGTCACTAAACGAATGATTATAAGTCGAGGACTACCTGTAATGGCAGGAAAGTGAGCTGCCTGAGTCTCCCTGCTTACAGTCACCTGAGAAGCATCACTGAGAAACAAGGGCTGAGGTGGCTTTGGCCTGACTCCCCAGGAGTGTTTTTCAGGGTCTGCACTCAAGACTTTGGAGGACTCTATGATGATCTTGCTCTATAGCAAATGTGGAAACTAAGCTGGCAAAGGGTATCTATTTCTTCCTACAGGCAATTTCCGTCGGTAAGCAAGGGATTAAGTCAGCCGTCCCAACCTTTCAGCAGGGTGTGTTTGTGTGTTTGTGTGTGTGTGTGAGAGAGAGAGAGAGAACAGCTACATTTGGCAGGTGCGCACCCTTCTCACGCATGAATAGATCTGTGGGTGCGCGCACCACCTCTCTCATGGCCTTGTTTCAAACAGACCACTCCCCAGGGGTTGGGGACCCCTGATTTAACTGAGGTTTTGTCCCATTTTACAACCTTTCTTGCTACAGTTGTTAATTGAACCACTACAGTTAAGTTAGTCACAGCAAATCTGGCTTCCCCATTGACTTTGCTTATCCGAACGGTGATCACATGACCCTGAGACACCGCAGCCATTATAAATACATGCCAGTTGCCAAGCATCCAAATTTTTATCAGCAACCACAGGGATGCTCCAATGGTCATAAGTGTGAAAAATGATCATAAGTCAATTTTTTTCAGTTCCGTTGCAACTTTCAAGAGTCACTCAATGAACGGTTGTAAGTCGAGAATTACCTGTACACCAGTCTTCAAAAAAATTACAGGCACAGAGGCAAGGGGGTGGGATAAAGCAGAAGGAAGCAAGTAAACGGGTCCTAGGGTTGCCAGTGCCAACACTGGATGGCCCTCTGCAGTGATTCCCCCTGGCGGATTCCTACCTGGTATTTCTGGAAAGCCTCCTCCGCCGGGATCACCGAGTGGCCCCTGTGCTCTTCGGATCGGTCGCAGACCACGCAGATGAGGGTCTCGTGGTCCTTACAAAAGAGCTTGAGGGGCTCCCGGTGCTTCGTGCAGAAGCTCCCTCCGTCCTCGCCCCAAGGGCCTCCGCATCGCCTGGCTATTTCCAGCACCCGCGCCAGCTGCCTGTTGGGCAGGACGTTGCGGGGCCCGAAGGTCTGTCTGCACTGGGGACACGAAGCCTCCGATTCCGACGTCCCCCAACTGCGGGTCAGGCAGCTCCGGCAGAAGTTGTGGCCGCACTCCGGGATGAGCACGGGGTCCTGGAAATACTCCAGGCAGATGGAGCAGGTGGCTTCTTCCAGGAAATCCTGCATGGACGCCGCGGCCGCCATCGCTGCCTCCTCCGCCGAGAAAAGGAAAGAGAAACTTAATTTCGCACCTCTTCTTGCAAATCAGGTGACCGCCTTTGGGCTCTGCCCAGAAGGGAAACCGAGACGGTCAGCTTCGGTGGCTTCTTAAAGGAGAACGACAGTATTTTAAAAAGAACAAATTGGGGAGAAGCAAACATCCACGGGACGGAGCCCCGATCAATTATTATTGGCAGAATCAGTTCGTCAAAGGGTAAATTGTTTTAAAAACTGGGGAGGAGCAAACATCCACGGGATGGAGCCCCGATCAATTGCAACTGATCCCAGTGTGAGAAGGATCTATAAATCTGTATAGAATGTATTAGAACTGTTGTATAAGAAATATTGACCTAAGCTCTAATAAAGTTATCAATAGCTGACTGGAGCCTCATTAGAGAGGAGGGGGGGAAGCCGACAAGCCATAATAGAAAGGAAAACTTTTAAATTCACAAGCGAACATGATAATTAAATACATCTTTTAAATTACAAAAACAAAAAAGCAAACACACAAAACTTAATTTTCACTAGGTAAACTTATTTATAAGGGAAAAGATTCAATGATCGCTTGATTTAATCAGCTCTTTTTCTGGGTTAATAAGAATGTTAAAAAATGAACAAGGAAAACCAATTAAGAAATTAATTTAGAATAATATAAATGTTGTTGCTAGAATATTTTATATTTTGTAGTCTACCTTCCCTGGGCTCTGACTCTTGGAAATAAAACTTCCTCCTCTTCAGATAGCACCAGCATTTGTTTTTTTTCCTTTCCCCGCTGAAATCCGGACCAGATTTTCTTCCCACACCAGCATCCTGTTAAAGGGGGGGGGGAGTTTTTAAAAACTGGGGAGAACAAACATTCTTGGGATGCCTCCTCCGATCAATGATTGATCCAAGCATCCTGCTAAGGGAAAAGATATTGGGGAAAAACTGGGGAGAAAGAAACATCCATGGGACAGATTCCCAATTAATTATTATTTATCCAATTAGCTTGTTAAAGGGGAAAATGCTTCTAAAAAACTGAAATCTTTAAGGGATGGGATGGAGTAAACTTGGAATGAAACAGACTGGGAGGAATTCTTGATAAAATTCCAAATCGAGTGCTGCAGTTGATAGGATGTCTCAGAGATAAAGGGGAAATTAAAATCCTCTCTCTCACTTTTAATAGGAATGTCTGGCTGAGGAAGACCTGCCTGGACTGTCCCCTTCCCAGCCAGCCAATCAGGAGGAAGGCAGCCTGGGTCACTATGGAAGGGAGAAGCGGAAGACTACCTTGCAGAATATGGAATATGTAGAATATGTAGAAAACGCCTTGTACACGTCCATGATATCACCAGGATTCGAACTCGACTCAATGGAGAAGTTTATTTTTTTGTACTTCTGCAACCCCATTCAGTGATTTGTAGGTGGGCTTGTGAGAGAGCTTATTTCATTCATATTTCATTTCAAGGAATTATTATTATCACCATTAGATTAGATTATTACTACTATTAAAAATCCATGCAAAAAGAAATGGGTACAAAGAAACAAAACATGTTTAAAATGCACCTCCCCCAACCAGGGCACAGTTTAAGCACCATCAAAATTACAAATGAAAACTCCCAACAGTTAAAATTACTGTTTTGTTTTCCTGCCATAAAAGCCATAAAATCCACAACAACCTTAATCTATTTACAGCCACAGTAAATAAAAATAACCCACAAACAATACTATCCTAATCCCCTAAACCTGATGCCCATAATAATTTCCATAGCAGTGGCCCTTTATTGGCACAAAAATGTCACAAAAAATGGGTCGATTGCATTTGAAGAAGGGATGAAATTGATTGCAGAACCTGAAAACCCCTGAGCTCGTAGCTCCCATTCAGGTCAGCAGATCTTTTCCTCTCTTGCAAGTATGCTGGGCAAAAGAAACTAGGTTTGTTTAGAGGTGCTATGGATTGGCAAAGGCTGGGTGTCAAGTTCTTCAGCCTTGCAGGACTAACTTCCCAAGACAAAACACTCTGCCCAGC